CTGAAATCCCGAAAATAATATTTCCCACGGAGGACGAGAAATTCAAACCGCACCGAGTTTTCTAGCGCATTGGCCGTAAGTATCGCAGGGGGTTGAGTTAATAAGGAAAACCCTTGCCGTTGCGATCTCCTGCAATAGCCACACTAAAAGCAGTCTATCGATCGGCCTACACGGGCGAACGTACACAAGCCGTCACTCAATCGATAATTTAACTTTCAAGCTACATTCAGTCACTGAGTCACCAGCCAATCGTACCGGTGACTACGTCAGGAGAGAAGCTGATTGACTCGATGGACATCATGTTACACGCGTTTGTTGTCCTAAATATGTTATACCGCTTACACTAAAAGACTTCTGCCGTTGCATACTTCTTGTCGTGTTCTTCCTTTGGGTACTCGCACAAGGCGTTATTGGGCGGTGGTATCTCGGCCTGGGTTTCCGTTACAACAGTTTCTAGCGTATTGGTCTTAAGCATCGCCATGGCTTAAGTTAATGGGTAAAACACTTGCCGCTGCAATCTTAAGTCCTGGTAGGAGAAGAGAAGAAGTGGGACGCCAGCTCGGAGGAATAGTGTATTGTGTAAAGAGTTAATGGGGAATAGGTAGGAGAAGGTTGACCGTCAGACTAGTACACAACCACCCGCGAGGAGACCGGTGTGCGAAGTGTGAGAGCCCCTGAGTCATCACAATGAGTTCCTGTGTGAGCCAACCTTGAAGGTGATTGGCCAGAATGGATTGGATAGGCAGATGTTAATGCTTGCAAACTTGCTCGCAGCCGCAAGAGGTTAAGCGTTGGCGAAGCTTGCTTATAGAGGACTGCAATCATGTGACCTCATGTGTGGCGTGGCGCTGGGGGGTGAAAGGCTCAAGAACCTCACTACCTAGGCTTCCTAGCACGTAAATGAGAAGTAGTTCTGGCATCTTCTCAATGAGCTGCGAAGGCAAGGCTAATGCATTTCCATGATGTCTGAATTATTTTAACAAGCGCCCTTTCAAGACGCGGCGTGTCATGCTCATTTTTGCTCTGTTCGATTTTCAGGCTTCCCTTTCGTCTCCTGGTTCGTAAACACAACGTTGACCTTGCCTTCTCTTCAATGATAATGAGCGACGCCTTTCTGCACTCTGAAGCAGTCCGCGCAGTCGAGTTCACTACCTGCCCCGAAGATCGCCCTCTCATTGTTCAACTGGCCTGCAAGAACTCGCCGGATTTTGCGCGCTGCTGTGAACTGCTTCTCAACCAGTGCGATGGTGTGGACCTCAACTGTGGATGTCCTCAGGGGTATCTTTCTAACCGGAATCTCTTATTTTCTGCCGATGAACTTTTCGCAGTGGCTTCACTTATAAGGTAAAGCCTATGCCGCAGTGGTCTCCAGGCTCGGTTCTGTAGGGTAACAGAAGGAGAAGTGAGCTGGCAGCTGGAAGGAATAGTGAATTCTGTACAGAAGTGGTGGAGAATAGACAGCAGGAAGTTGACTGTCGGGTGTACGAGCACTCGCGAGAGGGCCAGTGTCCGAGATGCGTCCCTGTGGCGATCCTTACACCGCCGAAGAAGAGCGATGCTTGTGAGATTCAGCCTTGAGGGTGATTGGCCAAACGAATTGAGGTAGGCTAGCGG